ATGCAAGCTCGCACACAGCGCAAAAAACAAGGCAGTATTTAACGGAAGAAAACGTGGAATTATTGGACCATCCTCCATATAGTCCCGATCTAAGTCCTAACGATTTCTTTACTTTCCCGAAAATTAAAAACAGACTGCGTGGTCAAAGGTTCCAGTCACCAGAAGAAGCAGTTGAAGCATTCAAAAATGCCGTTTTGGATCTGCCAGCAAACGGGTGGAATAAGTGCTTCGAAAATTGGTTCGAGCGCATGCAGATGTGTATTAATCTTCGTGAAGAATACTTCAAAAAACAATAAATTCATTTAAAACTACCTACCGTGTTGTTTTATTTGCATATGCAAAACTTAAAAGACATCCTCGTATAAGAAAGGAAAGCTGAAAATTCGGATTAAACGAGTCTCGCGACATTTTTTATTTATACTCCCCCTGCCACGAAGGCTTGAGGGCTAAACACTCATGGGGTACCGTGGAGCTATAGTGGGATACAGGGGAAAGGAGAGGCGCCATATTGACTATAGGGAGAGAACACGTGTGCATGCAACGTGCACACATTGTGGCCCCGCCTACGCGATCCGCCGGGTGGTACCTCCGCGTACGGCAGTCAGAGACCGTTATCCGCATACATTACTCCACGTGGAGAGAACTTTATAATCATTATCTATGATCTCAAGTACCGTTTTAAAGTAATTCCATTTATTTACTGCCACGTGAGAATTTGTTACGATATTAGAGGATAGCACGTTGTAAAAAATATTAAAAACATCTACTCTAAAGGTACGCTACAATTATTGGAGCTTGACATTGAAAATTGTATGTAGTGCAACCCTATCTCGCCGTAGGGTTGTTTGAACAATACTCAAGTTTTGTCCGTTTTCAATCTGATCAGTGGTATAGAAACTTACAACACTATGTAACGCGGCAGTGGGACATACGAGGGCATATTTATATGAACTTTCTTTTGTTGTTTCTAAATATACTTTCTGCTCTAGGTGTATTTCTATTATTTTTAGAATGCTACGCGTAAATTGACCTATTAATGCCTGCACAGTCGTCCTTCTTCACTCCCTTTACTACTCACACCTACTGGCGAGAAAGTATCGTAATCGAGAAAAATTTCGAAAATGAGATATTATGTTTCTTCGATGTTGTATAACATGTACATCACGAAAAACCATGTCAACCATTTCCGTCTTTCAGTCGGTTTATCTGCTTATCTTTGGACCTCCTACAATGTGGAAAGAACTATTCAGATTTTAATGAAATTGTCACACAAGGTTACCACTATGCCAAGGATGAAAAGGATTTGTAATTTTTTAAAATCGCTCCAGTCGCCGTGAAGCTAGAGGCTAAAACACGTACATAATACAAAGAGTTGCAAGAGAAGTGCGGAGTCAACCTACCTGACGCCATTTTTTATAAACTTATCTCTGAGGTTTCCGTGCAAAATCGTTTTATTCATAACATAATACTGGCTTGGCTTTAGTAACGCAGTATTCCTGTTTACAAAACAACGTAAACTTCGTTTCAAACCTACAGAATGGTGTAATCTACAATTTTTCATCATTCAATTTAAATTCCATCCTATGTAATCTTGTGTAGAAAACAGTACAATTTACGTATAATATACGGCCTCTATACTCTTATATTGACTTACAAGTCCATGTCTAGAAATAACTGCAGACGTGACATTGGTCAAACATTCCTGCTCCCCCTCATGATAGTTCAAGGTCAACACGAGGTACTTGAATCTAAATCATATGTAATGATATAAACGAGCCACACTCGCTTCAATGTTAAAGCAAATAAATACTTTAAGGCCATATGAAGGGTGGGCCATCAGTTACTTTTATTTGTTGGTATTATTGTCTTTTATATCTATGTTATGTTCTGTGTTTCCTCAGCCTGTAATTAGTATTCACTGTAGGGTGTTGTAATGAATTCAATAAAAAATAAAATAAAATTATTTTGACTTGAATTATATTGACAGATATATTGTGTCAAACTTCCGCTGCGAGCAATGGATCGTTTTAATCTTGAACAAAGCTGGGCAATATTGAAAAACTATTTACAAAGTGAGTGCTATGTTGTCGAAACTTTGCGAAAATTGAGAAGACTATTTGGTCGGAATCAAGCTCCGTCCGCGACTGATTTATGAAAATTCCTGAAACTGGCCTGCTTGTTGATAACAAGGTATGAACGTGTTCGACCCAGACCACCACAAGTAGGCATCAGTCGTACTTCTGTGCGGAGAATATTGCATAACGACCTGGGATGATTTCCTTACAAGGTGCAACTTGTGCAAGAGTTGACACAAAATGATCATCCGCTTGGATATCGTTTCTCTGTGCGGGCTCTAAATCAATTGGAAATGGTAGTCAATTTTGGTCGCCAAAACAATCTTTTCGAACGAAGCCCATTTCCATCTGGGAGGTTACGTTAACAGCAGAACTGTAGGATTTGGGGTTCAGAAAATCCACATGTCTTAATAGAAAAACCAATGCATCCAAACAGAGTAACTGTTTGGTGTGGCCGTTGGAGGGGTGGGATTATTGGTCCCTACTCTTTCCAAGATGAAGCTGACGGTAAACGGGGAACGCTGTAGAGACATGTTGAAGAACTTTTTGTAGCCAATCTTAGACGACATGCACTTGCACAATCTTTGGTTCCAGCAGGATGGCGCAACATGCCACACCAGCTGTGCAACGATCGACCTTTTACACATTATTATGTATCCAGCGAAAAAAGATACCAAACCTAAAAATATGCACGTATACTCCACGTGATCGCGCTCCAGAACGCCGATCACGTTACAGGGCCGTACTAAGAATAAATGATTTGTGGTTCTACGATACGATCAAAAAGTATGAAAAATTATGGCAGGCATGTATAGGGTCCAAACGTAAAGCTTGGAATTAATGTATTTTTTTAATTTAACTGTCATGACCAAAAAGAAAACAACTGTCTATTGTTGTTTTTAGTAGAAGTGTTTTATCAAGAAATTATACTCGGAATGTGTCGTAAGGCGCATTTATAAAGCAGGCTTTTAAAATATGTCTTGAAACATTAAAACGATAATTGCATACGCATAGGAGTATATCTAACCACCGCTTGAACAGGGACGTCAGAGTGCAAACAATTAATTTAAATATTAGACTAAAAAATGAATAGATAAGTGGAGTTGAAAGAAAAAGGATTTGAATACATAATAATATATACTAAATATTATACAAAAATCTATTGCACAGACATTTTACCTCTAAAACCGGAAATACATATATTTGAAAATGAAAATCATTATAGATCTGAGGCCGTGGAACTCCCACTGCCATCAAGATTTATGATTGAAAGGGCAACGTGAGTATCAATGATACCGCCTAATTCCCAAATTTTAGATTCGACATTTTCTTTTACATGCTGATAAATTTTCCCACTTATTCGGTGTTATTCTTTGTATAGCATCATGAAAAATATTTTTAAGGTCAGAAAATTTAAAACATTATTTTCTGCCCAAATGAGCTCAATCGGATTGAGCTCAAAATGGTAAAGAGGCAGTCGTAAAACAGTTTTATTTTGTTTTTTGGCCATTTCACCAATTCTGTTCGGGTAATATTTATTTTTATGCATTTTGACAATTTGGTACAATTCAGCCTTAACCGTTGTATCATCATAATCAAACTTTTTATTTTTAAGCTATCCTTGAATTTCTGATTTTTTTGTTGACGTTGTTGGAATTTTCCCTAATTTTCTCGTGTGGAATGAAGCATTATCTAATACCATAACTGAATTAATCTTCAAGCTTCCGTAGAGTATTTGAGAACCAATTTTCGAACGAGGCTCCATCCATTTCTTAATGGTAGTCTTCCGTTTCTTTAGATTCAAATGCCCATAAAGCATCGGACACAAATCCATTTTCATTACCGATGTGGCAAATTATCAATCGCTTACATTTTCCTAAAAGTAATTCATTTTGGACACTTCAAAACCGCTCCTACTGAAAGCATTAAAAACCCAACAAAATGATTGCTTGATTTCTTATCTCGATATAGTTTAAGCATGTACAAAAACAAAAATAAAATATAATTTTAGTTGAAATTCCTCGTCTTACAAGTGTTGCAAAATATGTACGTATCAGCTTTGCAAACAATGTCCTGAACACTTGAGTCACTCCGTTCTTGCATTTCGTATTTATAAATGTTGATAATTATTTGTTTTTCGCTAACGCTAATATGAAGCCTTTAGCTCTTTTTTAGGCGGTGTGCAGCTTATACCAACAACTTCATCAACTGTATTCGTATCAGACATTTTGAGTTCTACGAAATTAAACTGACAAATCTAATAAGCACACAGTAATACTAGTATAAATCTGATGCCAACTGTGAACTGTACGGCCAGCCACCGGGACGGCCGCATGCATGGTCGTATCGTCTCCCACTCCACCCTCTGATTTGTCATTGGTTTTGTGTAAGGGCTCGACCTATTCTGCCCAATAACAGTTATGCTCCCTCTCTCTTAAAATATATCAATGTACTGATCACGCAATAATCACGCGACGATCACTGTTTTGGTTTAGTATCTTTCTTCGATAATAATAAGTTCAGTGATTGCGTTATCAGCCGTTTTGGAGACGTTCATTGACCAGCCCGGAGCTGTGATTTGACGCCCAAGGATTACTTCCTATGGGGTACCGTTAAGAACCGCTGTTACACTAACGATCCTCAAACAATTGATGTTCTTAAGGAAAATATCCATCGAGCTATTGATGAAATAGACCCACAAACTATCGAAAATGTGCTTCAAAATTAGGTTAAGAGGATGGACTGCTGACAGGCCAGCCGCGGCAGCCATTCAACTGAAATTGTTAGTCATAATCGGAACGTGTATCCTTTCGAATAAAGTATCGAGTGTTACATATCTTAGTACCAATTTAAAAAAGAAACCGACGGATGGCCCACCCTTTACATAGTTATGCCTTTTCCTGAAGCTTTGGTTGTTCTTTTCAGTTTTGCAAGAAATTTCGTGTTGGAGAACGGTGCTGTGAATTTATATGCTTGGACCCACCTGGAGACACAGCTTCAAGAATGCTGGAGGAGTATAGAAGGAAGCTAGCGAGGAACAACAGTACTAGGCTGGATGCTAGTTTAGTATCTGCTCTTATATTTAATTTAGTACATTATTTGTGGAGTGTATCAAAGTATGTTTGAATGAAGTTGTCTAAAATCTTGTGAGTTATTTCTCATCTCCAATTACTTCTTGATCTACAGCCCTTCTAAGAGCCCTTTCTCATCGGAACGCTATGGCGACGTCGCCAGCATCTATAGCTTAACTAACCTACTGAAGTGAGCTACCAAAAATACAATTTGTGCAACATTTCTACGAGTTGCAGTGCAACATAGTTTTTTGGTTCGTCGATATCATATATGCGATTCGTTCGTCTCTATGAGAGCATCTGAAGTTCACTTCAAGGTCATATCAAGGACATTTTTAAAAGAAGCCGAATAGTTGATCCAATTCACGTCAAATAAAAATATTTTACGACGGCCTAACTACCCAAAAACCAATCAAATAACAGTATTCTAAATCCTTTTCCCCTGATAATTTCATGGTGTGTATATAGAGATGACTAAAAAACAATGTTTTCATTTTTTTTAAATGCATTTTTGGTACATTTTATTGTGCATTTTCTCTCCAATCGGGACTTGTTAACAAATATAATATATATATATATATATATATATTGAGACGTGGTCATTGTCGTCTAGACCAGTTAGGTGAAAAATTAAAGCTTCCGCCTTTTGTTGGGTACTTCGACAAAATTTAAGCAAAGAGGACTCTTTATACTTTTTTTAATTCTCTCTAGCTTTCAATGGTCTTTGCCATCATCATCAGGAGAGTAGTATGTGAGGATGTTGCTAATTGTTGTTTTCGTATAGGATGACGGAAACGTCCAGTAACATGGTGAGAGATTAAAAAAATTTTAATTAAAATTTTTAATCTGTCTTTAACTTGTCTTGTCATATTTTATATAATTTTAACCATTGTACCATGTATCCAGCTCTCACCATGTTACTGGACGTTTCCCTCATCCTATACGAAAACAACAATTAGCAACATCCTCACATACTACTCTCCAGATGATGATGGCAAAGTCCATTGAAAGCTAGAGAGAATTAAAAAAAGTATAAAGAGTCCTCTTTGCTTAAATTTTGTCGAAGTACCCAACAAAAGGCGGAAGCTTTAATTTTTCACCTATATATATATATACTAAGTGACATATAAATCCGAACACCCAGTTTAAATGGTTTTATTTTGATAAAATTTTGTATAAGTACTTAATGAAGCATAATAAGTAAATGATAAAAATTTCAAAATGATTGCACTGCTTTAAAGCCTTTTGACCTTTAATAATGTGTGGATGCACCCCGATGTGCTACGCATTCTCCAACGCGCCTAGGCATGCTTCTGATCAGGTGGTCAATGTCCTCCTGTGGTATCTCATTCCAGGCAACCACCAACTCCTCTCGAAGTGCTTCTAGAGTCTGAGGAGGACGTTGCAAATTGAGCAATCTCCTACCCATCATATCCCACACGTGCTCAATTGGGGATAAGTCGGGAGATCTTGGTGGCCATGGTAATAATGTGACATCATTATGTTGAAAGAAGTCTATTGTGACTCTTGCAACATGTGGTCGGGCATTATCTTTTTGGAAAAATGGATCTGCCAGGGTGTCAAGATAGGGTAAAAGATGGGGTTCTAGAACTTCGTGGATATAACGCTGCGCGTTCATGTTACCTCTGATGAAGATTAAAGGTGACCTGGAACCATAAGCTATAGCACCCCAAACCATAACTCCAACAGTGTGATTAACATGTCTTTCAACAAAAAACTGTGGATTCCTCCTTTCACCATGTAGCCTTCTAACCCTGGCACGACCATCGTGCATGCCTAAACAAAATCGAGACGCGTCACTAAAGACAATACTGTTCCATTCCTGATCCCAGATTGACCGTTGTCTGCACCACTCAAGGCGATTACGTCGGTGTTCTCGAGTTAAAGGGAGGACCCAGTGTGGCCGGTATGAAAACAAGCCAAAACTTCTCATTCGTCGGTAAACACTTCGCATGCCAATAGGTCTTCCGTGTTCTGCAAACCATTCATTTGCAATGGACCTGGTAGTGGAGAAACGGTCCCTTAAGGCCAATAATCTTAGGCGGCGATCTTCACGGTCTGTTGTTCTACGGCGGTGTCCAGTGCCCCTTGCTCTTTGCGTACGGCCTTCTCGAAGCCATGCCTGACAACACCTAACCACAGTGTCTACACTTCTTTGCACTCTAACTGCAATTGCCCGAAAAGAAAGTCCTGCTTCCCGAAGTCCCACTATACGGCCCCTATCAAACTCACTAGGTTGACGAAATCGTACAGGTCTCCGTACTCTAGGGATCGTAACCGATCGTAAAGGATGTCAAGAACCAAAATCCGCCAACGTTGATTCTTTACTGCGGCTGAAATATTCATTTTTAGAGCGTTAGTGAATTAAAAAAAAGCAGTATAAAAACCGGAATGTGCAACTGATAAGGCTGAAAATTTTTTCACTTGTTATTTACAGTAAGATAAATACATTCACCAACTTTTATTAAAATAAAACCATTTAAACTGGGTGTTCGGATTTATATGTCACTTAGTATGTAAGGACAGCTCTGAAATTGTGTGTGAATATTCATCTTTCATGGAAAAATGAAACAAGTGATTACTATTGTTCTTATCACTTTTCCTTTTTGAAAAATCTCTCTTGAAGCCTTGTCTCGGAGCAAGATGAGTTTTTAACAAAAGTAAAGGTTTTTTGAAGGGAAAAAGTGACAAGAATAAAAGTAATCACTTGTTTCATTCATCCATTGAAGTGGAATATTCACACACAAATTCAGAGCTGTACTAATATTTGTTAACAAGCTACGATCGAAGAAAAAATCCACAATGAAATGCACAAAAAAAGCATTTTATGACAAAAGAAAATGAAAAGGATTTGGAATACTGTTGCAAACAGGTATTTGAAAAAAAAGCGAAAAAATGGTCCTGCAGCCAGTCATTCCTACGCCTTTATGGCCTCCTTGGTTTTCATAGTTTTCCACTGTACCGTGCCAGCGTACCATTTTGAGGTTATGTTACAAATATCTATTTCCATTAAATTATTCATGCTTTTGACTTATATCATCTGTTATATCACCCTGCAATTTGCTTCAATTCAAAAAGAAAACATAGCCTCACAGTACGAGAACGCTGACGCTGACACGGAACAGTAGACATCTAGAAATAGCCTAGCTTGTCTGAAGGAGAGGAAAGACTATGAAAATTAAGGAGGTCATGAAGGCGTCCTATAATGGTAGAAACGACTGATGATACGGCACTTAGTGCTGATAGATACAGCAAAAAGGGGTCAAAGGCTACCTAGTTGCCGGGCGGATCTTCTGATTCCGCATCTGTAATTTCTAAAAGAGAAATATGAATTGTCTATTCACCGCTGCACCTAATGAACGCAGAGCGTAGGTCCAGTATTTCCAGCGTGCTGGATTTCATTCTGAATATTCAGGTAAGGACGTCCTCATTGTACCTGCTAACGAAGCCCATTAAAACATTTTTATTTTCGTTAATTATGTATGGTCTTTTCAACCTGTTATAAGACGAGTCAAAGGCTATGGCGCAGGTTGGAGGTGCAAAGAAGGAAATGTTGCTTGTAATACACGCCACCGAATAAAGACTCATATGGTGGGTGGTTTCTATAGTTTTCACAAATGAACATATCCTGCCATGGTTTGCCTTTAAGAGGGGCCTCTGCAACTATACAGTATGGGATTGGTGATAAAAAATGGAACATTAGCAAAAATCAGTTTTGCTAAAGCTGAAGGACTAACCACTGACATTTTACTGAAACAAATCGCTGCCTCATCTTAGGTTTGTTTGGACCTCTGTATCTCTCCAGATCTCATTGGTCGTCTACGGATCTCCTCTATAGGAGATCCGGTAACACAGAATCCTTAAGTAAGTAGTGAACTCTTTTGACTTAAATCTCGAGCTTTCGACGGACTATGCAGTCATCTTCAGGAGCTAAAACAGAAATTTGAAAAGAGCAACCAATTTAAAACAGTTTAACTTTTTAATTACTTAGTCGGTGAGGTTGCTGCTAAATGGTGTTTTAGAAAGAATACGTTGATGAGACCACTTGTTAGGATTACAAGATCAAAAGACTGGACACATTGAGTTTGTTTTTAAGGAAGGAATATCTAGCTATGCGTTAAAAACATTTGTTAATAAACCCAAACGGATTAAAATGGATTACGAGTAATCAAGATATTGAAAACTAAAGCTACATTTTGGCGTATAGTTGTCACGTGAAAGAACCGGAAATGTGACGTAGATAACAGATGACAGATGTACGTCATGGAGGAATGTGACAGTTGTGAAATTCATAGAAATTGCCAGGGACTATACCTAAGAGGGGTCCTTGAATTGGATTGGGTGAAAAAACTCAATAAACTTGAAAATTCATTAATTGCGGAATGTGGTTGAATAACTGTTGTATGGAGAAGTCAAATTATATAAGAATTTTTTTATTATATTATTGTGACGATACTGTACTAAGCGGCAAAAAAAGTCGTTCCAAGTATTCGCAGTTCAACAAGTAAGAATAAATGATACTAAGTTGCTTCACATCAGCCTTTTTATTCATACAGTGATCTGTCAATGTGAGACATTTCCAAGAATATACGTTTTGAATGCTGTTCTCTATCAAGAACCTTAATACTGTCATAATTCATCCAATGACCGATGGTGTTAACATGTGATGCCAAAGCACAGCTTTCTTTGTGTAATCCGGCATAACTTTTTTATTATTCTGCCTGTTAACCATCTGACGTTTGGCCTATGTAAGTTAAATTACTGCCACCGAAATACTTGTTTTTTAAAAAAAAACTTTATTTTGATTAACAGTACAAAAAGACTTTTGTGAAACCTTGTCACGACGATGTGTAAAACAGGACGGTTAGACAAGAAGTGACAAGATGTCCTCACACATGGATTTAGAACAATGCAGTAGAAATATAATATGCTGATACAGAGAATGTTAACATGTGAACTTCAAGGCGCGAGATAAGCTTCCATAGCGTAGCGACAATGCTAGCAAGAAATACGAGTACCAGGTAATAATTATAATATTATATAAAATACAGGGT